TAAATATTAATATATATAAAAAATACATCTAAACTTTAAAAAAATAATAAAAAAAAGCTCGGCTCGGCCCGTGACACAGGCCAGTGATGAGCCCGGCTAGCTCGGGCCCAAGCCTCAGCTCAATGCCATCGAGCCACGAGTCAGCCCCGCTCAGACTTTTTTCGGGTAGAGCTCAGCCAACCCCGAGCTGCCGAGCTTTTTTCACATCGCTAAGAATAGCTATCTTCTCCAATCATTCATCATTAAAATGTCAATTTAAACCTAAGGAATAAGCCTTGACGCTGTCAAACAGAATAATCTTCCTCGGATTCTATTGGCCCACGAAGCCCAGATAGAAATTTATGTACTCATAATTCAATGTACATAGAGGTTGATGCTTACGTGGCAACGAAGAAAGCTGATTTGGATAAATAACGTAGGGCGGCGTGAGTGGTGCAGGTGTTGTCCGAGTCCGTTTCGGCAACCTATAGTTTACATTATACATATTTGAGAATAAATGATCTGAATTATAAATAATTAAAAATGAGTGATAAATAAGTAAATACTACTTGTATATTTCACGAGATATATAGATAAACCATAAATTATAAACAATAGCCAAACAAGAGGGCTTAACGGTATAATATATATAATAATTAACGGGGAGAGTGAGTTTTTTTCTATTCCTTTACGGGGTTGCAAAGCCCATTCCTCGTGACCCATTGTTCGCATTAATCAACTAAGCAGTAAAATGAATATATTTTCTTTATTTTCGTATTGTGTCGTACTTTTTTTATTTATATTTGCACGTAACTTAGCTTATAACTTAATAAATAATCTCTAATTTGACACGCGTGTCCTTTTCAAGATTTTTGTTCATTGGATATCACGATTATTAGAATTTAGAGCTTTAGCATTTAGGCTCTTACTTGTATGCATTTTAGAGGCTAATAAGATTATTTTGTAACAACATTAACAGCTTTAAGATTAAAGGACGGTGCCAATTAGAGTTTATGCATGTGATGAAACCTTGGTTTAATGGAGTCTCTCCTTTTCATGAAAGATTGCTAGAAATGGCTTTGGATATGGTGCAACCATCCTTCCAACTTTTATCTGGACAAGCCCTCCAATTCATGCATGGAACAAAAAGGGAATTTGATAAGCATTTTTTCTTTTCTTTTTCAAAAAAAAACCTACCAAATTGAGTACTTGAATTATAAGAAAATTAATAATAAAATCAATTTTATACATAACTAGTGATGTCTTCCATGCAAGAATAAAAATATAAATTGAAAAAACAAAATTAGAGACGATAAGGTCCTGGGTTCGAGTTTCGACCGCCACCAATTTGTTGGAAGTTGTGCACATGTTAAGTTTTGAGAAAATAATAAATAAATACAATATACTAAAAATAACTTTTAAATGATATGTACTCGTGGGTTTCTCTGATAACTTATGTTTTTAAGTCAAGTGATTCAACATGATATTAGAGTAGGTTAAAGTCGTGAGTTCAAGATTAAAATGTTTTCACTATAAATAAGAAAGAAGATTACAAAGTTGATCTCATACCACGATTTGTATAATGCTAAAAAGAGCCCTATAAACAATCCATTACACATGCTTAGATATTTAAGAAAGGCAAAATACGTCTAAAACATTTGCGATAATCACATACAAGTGTACGATATAATTATGCTCGGAGTCGGTCATAAGATTTTGAACGCTCAATCCGAAATTTTAAAGAACACATTTTGTTTTCTCAAATTTGTTTCCTTTGTTGTCTTAATACATGTAATAATTTCTCAAAGTACCCTTATAACACTGAAAAATTTTCGTCTTAGAGCTCCCAGCTTAGACTCGACTCCCCGTCAACCTTACTAAGATGGTCCAATCCCAATTGAAAGAAAAAAAAATGTGTAATACGCTAAGCTCCACGTAGTATTCAACATGTCTACTTTGATGAGAATTATAAACCCTAATTATATTTTACCTAGAACAATCAATTTGAAGAAAGAAAAGTAAAAACATAAGAACACACAAGATTCACAGATGTTCGTCTCAATATGAGATTATGTCATCTCCTACCACTACAGTAATTTATTATGATAAAAAAAAATTTACAAGAGAAAATCACACTTTTATCTTCCCTAGTCTCTTTTTCTTTCTTTTTAATGATAATGATAAAGTCTAACCACGACTCCATGTTATGACAATAATTAGGATCGGCAATAATTAGGTTCCACAGCTTAACATACCCAGCCTGATTTGTAGCTCGTCTACTTTAGGACTAGGATATATTATTTAATTATTTCTTCTTAATTAGTTTCTTTTGTGAGGGTCTTGCCCATACTTTGTGTGGTCGACTGTACTAGCAGCTATAAATGAAGCAAACGCGTCTCGTATGAATATAATTATGCAAAAGCTAGCTTTGTTATGAGTTCGAACACGCGTAGACAGACGTTCGAGACCAAATAAACAAATCAATAATTTGATATAATCAACGGCTTTGTTCTATATTGAGTACTGTAGCAGCCTTGGCTTCCTTCGCGGAAGCTTAGTTTTGGAAATATTAATACTAAAAGTACGCAGAAAGTTTGATTTTCTGGGTTATTAAAGAGTGAGTACAGCTTGTGGTGGCCCTTGAAGAATTAAACAGATACTAAGAATTAATTAAAGTAGCTAACAGTTTCTACAATAAGAATGTTTTTGTGGAATCGACATTAATTCTCCTAGTCTGTATAAGAATGAATCACTGTGCTATGCTGGGAGGAACCTTCGACGAAGTAACTCTTTGGTGGGGTGGGGGGGTGGGGTGGATATGATCAACTAAAAATGATGAGTTTATTTGCGTACATGGGGGATGCTACGTGTACACACGGCTTTACAGCCCCCTCACATGGAGGGGAGCCCACACACAATAAAATATTCGTGAGACCTTTTCCATGTGAGAGGGGTGTAAAACTGTATGTACACCAGGAGGTGTACACATAGCATTTTTCTTGGGTACATATATATTACGAAAGTTCAACGGTGATTTATAAATGTTATGAAAAGTACTGTGGTTAATGAGATATTTAAATTAATGATTTTCGTCGCTGTGATTTATAAATGTTATGAAAATTACAGTGGTCAATGAGATATTTAAATTAATACTTTTCGTCTCTTATATTTTATCTTACGTGTTTAAAGATTTAAGGAGATAGGCGATGACTTGGCATTTTGATAACCTTTTAAAGAACAATCCATGGAATATAAGGGAAATCCTTGCAAATCTACTTGGTCACATTCAGAACTTGTAGGAATATAGTGCAAGATCTTCTTTCTCTTCCTCTATCTAGTATGACTCACTAAATCTTTCAATATAAATATTAAATAGCATAAATAATGATAAGAATATTGCTTGCTCTCTTTTGTCACCTACTCGCTAACTACTCATATTGTTTGATTTAAATTTTCTTTTATGCTCCATATTGAGGGAATAAAGACAACTCAAATGCTGAGGATTTTTCCTTTTTTTTTCTTTCTAATATAGATAAATATTCCATCCTTGTGGTGGTTTGAATAAAATTTTTTACAAAATTATTGAAATATTAGACACATTTTCTCCAAAGAAATAGTCTATCTAGCCCTAAAAATTTTTTTTCTCTATATCCTAGGAGAACCGTTTTCTAGTTAGAGAAAAAAAATGAGAGATGCAATGTCGTAACAAATTATAATCCTCGTCAGGATAAACTCTCGTGATAAGAGGGCATATTTTTAGCATTGAAAGTGGACTACTATAAATCTTACGTTCTTGCTTTCGTTTTTGTAATTAGTGCAATGATAATCACTTTTGTAGCTAGTTACTAGAACTAACCAAAGGTAGCACAAATTGAGCATAGCCAATTAATGAAAAATCCCTTGAAATTAGGAATAAACCATCACAATTTTACTCAAAAATTAGTTAAATAAATTTGGAATTCACTGAAAATAATGAATCACATTCAAAGCATCTATGATCCAAAATTCTTGTGAAATCACATGCCATTAGTTGTTTAAATTAAGTGGTAGTTGAATAATAATGCTAATTTTGTTGATGAATGTG